TCAATTTGAGACTTTTTGGGTGTTTCTTCATCGTTACAGTTACCCCTTTCAGTGTACCTTCGTTATTACACGATCATCAGAGAACGAATGGAGATATCACCTTTAGCATCCATTCTGCGGATATCCTCTGCTCCCCATAGAGCTCCTACGGAAACGTAAACCGAATGACCTGGGAAAGAATTTGTCCATAGGGCAGCGCCAGAGGAGCGTTCAATCCCGTGTTTGAAATATTATCACTCTCCTTGACAGTTGTGGCGCGCACTGCCTGCTCGAAATCTTCATCTGCGAAGGCAGTAGGAGAGCCGATATATCTGATGCCTGAATGTGCAGAAAACACAGGTCGGATCCACTACACGTCAGCTGATGAGAGAAAAGTACAGCACCATTCCTTGGCGACATCCGGATGACAAACCTGAAGAACGCTATGAATAACTACCAACGGCAAACTCCCTCCCATAGCTCGTACTTCAGCGATCAAGTCTGCCTTTCGTTCAGCGAAGTCACCGAGATTTGCCAATGCACACTCAGCTGAGAGTCTCCCATCACGTACAGCAGCTTCGACCTGTGATAGACGTCGTCCTCAACCATGATTCGCATACAGCTACCTTATCAGAGGACCTATTCCATACAAAGGCCAACTCCAGCTCTGAACTCCGACTTATTTCCCCAACCAGGAACCTGCATCCCTCCCTTAGCATAAGAATTGGGAGGTTACTGCTAATTACTCTCCAAGATGACCGTATCCCACAATGCCGATACGTCGGGGTTTGCCCATGCGTTATCGAAGAAAAACTCACATGCAGGGAGTACGGACCCAAATTGACCAGCGCTAGAACGGCATTCGAAAGTAACAGCATTGGTATGGTACATGCTAATTTGTTCAGCCGATCAGCTGAACAACCAGATCAGCCGCTTGACTAAGCAGTTGCTTTGAATGCTCCGTGTCCCCCTTCAGTGAGCCTATGCTCTGCTGTTCCTCAGCCAGAGGCTACTCCACGAGTAGCTTCTCACGGTCGACCCTCCGTCGCACCTGTTGCGCATAAAGAATGCCTATGATGAGGGCGCTCGAAGTCGCCAACTAGTTCAAGTTTGCACACTTTCGGGCGCGTGAAGTTAGTTTTCGATTCAGTTAGGCTTCGACACATCGTGGCGAATAAATTTTTGTAATCATGACTCGCTTCGCTCCGCTGTTCCACCCATCGCGAGTAACTCGTGAGCATCATGGGTATTTCCTCTCATCGTCAACTGCCTTCTCTAGCCCGTCCCGACACAACTCTGATACCGCACCTGCGGCACATCTGTCCGCTACTGTGCTGATAGTAGACCTGTCTGTCTTGAACTGTACAATAATGTCCACTTCTTCCTCTTCTGCCACGCTGACCCCGGCCGCTGCTGCAGAGGAAGGTCGACCTGCCTTGGTCGTCCCCAGAGTCAAAGCCTCTCCCATTCTCCCCATCTTCGAGCGATGGGCGGTTCTGGTAAGCTAACACCGACACCATTCATTCGAGCATTAACTTCTTCCTCTTCAGGTTTTCTCTCTTGCCCTGTGTATTTTCTCAGCGTGTTCACTGTTCACTCTCAATCTCTCCTGGGCTTATCAACCCAACCAGACAGGTGAGTGCACTTCCCCTACTCCGGCATTTCTGAATGTTCATGTGACTTGCAGGTTATGAAGTTCCTCTGGCCAACTGCCCGGCCTTCTCTGAATCGTTCTCCATAAACCACGCGACTGCACCTTCTGGTCCAACATGCAAACTTGAGATAGTCCAGAACGGTTGGAACGAGATGGTTATGTACAACTCAAGTATTTACCCTCTACCCAACAACACCCCGATCGACCAGACTCTCAACAACTGTCGCATGCCTCAGAACGGTGAACAGGATTATGAATGCTTCCAACTGTATGAGTGTCATAACGCATGTCGCAGAGTGGACGATACTGAGACGTATTACCTTGGAGAGTGTCCCGACCCGTCTATCCTACCCGAGATCGGCAACGACGTGATGAAACCCGGTATCCCGAAATGTCAGGTCAAGTTGTCACCAACCTCCCCATGGGAAACGGTCTTCTGCAAAGAGGTAGATCCGTCC